AAGATAATAATAATATTCTAAGATAATTAATAAATAATAAAATAATAAACTAATAATAAATTCGTTCTATAACACTACATTCAGACCATCTTCTTACCCAGATTCTTTATCGGTCCCTCCTTTACTTTCAGCCGGCAACCCAGAAAAGTTGGTCTGCCCAAGCTTTAGGTACCTGAAGGACACCCTCCCCTTGGTCTATACTTTCGGAGCGTATATCCTTTTCCTCCAATGTAACAACCCAGCGGTTCAGCTAGTGTGTTCTCCGCCATAAGATCTGGTTGCTCGGTTCACCAATTTCGGGCCCCGATTCAAATTCAGCCCTCCTGTAATACCGTTGAAAATTACTGCTACCTTCAGATTTGGATCTTCTCAAATAGGTTTTCAGTTATACCAGTTCCTTAGATTTATTGCGCCAAAGCTTCTATTACTAGATGGTGTGACCAAAGTTACAAATTATAGTTCTAGATCCAACTAATAAGCATAGCCGTTAACCAAACACAGGCCTATTTTTCAAATATCATCACCAGTGGGATTTGAACTCTAGATCTGCCACTTGGAGAGGGTGATAACTAGACCACTACACTAAGTTACCACACCTCTACTAGTTATAGAAATTTGTTAATAGTTAAAATTAATAATTCTTTATATTTTATTAACAATTAAATAAATATTTGTATTATTGCTACTTTTTTTTTTTTTTTTAATATTAATAGATTTGACTATAACTTAATCTTTTTTATTATAATTTATATAAAAATAAATATATTGATCTTGAAAGATTTCAAAAATTAACAAGCCTGACTCCACTTAGCTGTCTCTAGGATGCTCAAAAGCAACCTATTTACTAGTTTACAGATAAACTAAAATTTTCTTAACAAAATTCTATAAAATAAGAAAGCGAGCTCTAAACTAAAAAAGATAATAAAAAAGAAAGAAAAGAAAAAATAAACAATATATAAAAATAAAAAACAAAACCAAAAAAAGAATAAACCAAAAAATAAAAATAAAAAAAAAATATTTTATAGAAATAAGATATAAAGTTAAAAGAGTTTTTGCCTTTTTATATAACCAAAATATACTATTATAACTTGTGCAAGACTAAAAAATTATATAACAAATACAACAACTGTATATCTCTACTGTAAAGCTTCACTTTAATATAATTTTTTTTTTTAACTAAATAATTATCTTTAAATAACTTTTTAACTAAGATTCTAATCTAACTCTTATATAGTGTACTATATCTATAAATAAATATATTATGTAGTTGCATTTTACTAAATTTATTTGAATTTGGAAAATAAACTATACTAATCTTTTGAAAAAAATAAGCCAAATTTCTACTTTTTTAAAAAAATTTTGAAAAACTAATAAGTGAAAAAAAGTAAAAAAAACCACTTAATTAAATAAAAAGTATAGCTTAAAAAAAACTTGTTTTTTAACTATTTTCTAGTTGTTTTACAACAAGAAACTTTGTCAATAGAAGAAACCATATCTTTACCAAAATTTCATATACAAGAGCACTAACTTCTGCCAGTTATTTTATATAAAGATACTTTTAGCTTGCATGTCAAATATATAAAGAAGTTTCTATAGCTACAAGGTTAACTTCTATAAAAACTATTTTATTGTCTATCTACTACAGGTATTATCAACTTTTTAATATAGAAAATTTTTTTCATCAAAAATTTTAGTCCAAGTGATTGTCAGAAAGAGTTGAATGAAACTACTAGCATTATTACTACAATTTAAACTAGTTTAATTATTTTTATTAATCTGTTTAATAAAAATTATAAAATTAAATGTTTATTATATAATATGACTTTCATGCAATACAATTTTTAATATAAAGAATTCAAGTCAATTGTAAATACAAAAAATAAAATATATGCCTAATTCAAAAAATATAAAGCTATAGAATAATTTTTGATATTTTTACAATTAGCTGTGTAAAAATATTAGTGTGAAGTATTATAGGCGACTGTTAAAAAACGTAATAAAATATATAATTTTTTAATATATAATATAGTCAAATCTCATTATAGTCACTCTTGATATAGTTACAATCTTGATATAATCTGCTATTTTTTAACTCAAGCTAATATAAAACATAAGATTTAACCTTTATATAGTTACAAATTTTTAGCAAATTATCTAAAAGTTGAACCAAACACAACCTTAAATTTGATAAATAGCAATACTAAATAAATTATATACATTAAAATTTATATCATGTTACAAAATACTGTATTTAATATAAAAAAAAAAATAATTATCAAATTATATATATAGTGTTTAATAATAAATGGCAATATAATTTATACTAGAAAATAAAACTATTAAAGTTTAAAAAAAAACATTAAATCGGTTTTTATCATCAATATCAAGTGGTTTGAGAACAGACATCGAGTGTTCTATGCCTCTATTGATCTTAACGATATCTTAAATAAAATATAGTGAGTCGCTATTTTTTATTTCTTTAAGAAATAAAATTGGTATAAAATAATATATTTCTTATTTTTCCTTTTTTTTTTTTTTTTTTTTTTTTAAGGGAAAAAATATGTATGATATACTACAAACTAAATCATTGAAAAGAATTAAGATATGTAAAAAAAAACGAAAAATGGAATGATAATACAATAATACATATTCTTATTCACTCATTATTCCCGTGCTCCCACTGACATTACTATCATCCTTATCAAGCTCATTAAGTGTCATTTCGCCTCCATTTCCCATCACAGCGCCCTGTTGAGTTGTCAATTCATTAAGAAGTGATTTCATCTTGACCACATCATTTTTTAATCCTTCAAAATGTCCAAGAACATTCATTATTTTATCTGTAGAAATATCTTCCAAGCTATCTAAATAAGCCCGCGTGAGTGGATCGTCCGCCGGGAGATCATTTTTTGATATTGTGATTACCAGAACTTGTAAAGTCTTAAAATAAATCACTGTGATAAGCATTTGATCTAATTTATACAGAGGTTTCAAAATTCGTTGGACAATACCTGTATTAAATCTTGGATAATCATGTTAATTGAAGCCATGTCGTTGAATTCAAGTTTTTCTTTGAACGCTTTAACATTAGCGGCTAGTTGCTGAATATGGTTTGAAACAATTGGTTGTACAAACTCGGGCTTGTTTAATTTGACCTAAACAACATGATAATTAGATAAGGCATCATTTCGACCAAGCAAACAATTTAAGCAAACTTACAATACTAATCAATGATCTGAGTACGCTCAATTTTTCTGAAATGTGTTTAGTTAATATGCGTGGGTTCAAATTTAAAAGACGCTCAATCAATGTTGCAAAGTAAGCATGTCCATAAATATTAGCAACTTGATCGTTTGAAGATAATTTCTCATATAGTCCCATTATCATATTAAATATATTTTCGATGTCGATGTCCATCATTTCAAGGATCACTAACGAACCTATATAAAAAAAGTACGTGGACAAAAAGTAAACAAAGTGAAGAAAAAAAAACTACACTCAAAACTACTCAAAACTACTCAAAACTTACAAAGTTGAACCACTCTCTCATATGATTCAAATTCAATGCCAGTAACAATAACCTGCTCCACAAAATTCAAATATGGTTTATATAGTACTTCCTGCAGTTGCAATATTTGTTCCCTCTTCAATTTTTGCATGAAAGGTTCGAAAACATGGATCGAAGGACCTTGTAATAAATTCATGACATTATAATTATCGAATTCATCATCGATTAATTTGTATTGATGGAAAATCGATCGACTTCCACCAAAATTCTTGTTCAAATCTGGTAAATTTTTTAATAATTTATTTTAAAAGTTAAGGAAACTATTTACGAGATCTAGACAATATTTTCTCAATACCTTCTTTAGTGACCGTTCCGCGTTGCCATTTCGAATGATTATCAATGAGCCGCTGTAATATTGTAATTTCGATATCCTTAGTAGCCTTCATCTTAAGTAATAAGCATAGGATTTCTAATGTTTCAAATATCAAGAATGTTGAGGAACTCAACGAATTATCAAAATAGCATCGAAAACATATATATATTTCTAAATAAGGACATTACCTGCAGCCCTTGTGTAAAATTCATGGTCAGTATTTGGATGCAAAAATGATAGAAGAATAGTTACAAATTCTTGACGAGTTTTCCATGATTTCAAATAAGCATAGATTACTAGTGGAATGGAAAGACGAAGTTTATGATCATACATATTTAGCCAACGGAAAATTATGAATAAGTTAAAAATTCAAACCATCATCATTTTGATACAAATAAGCAATGTTCAAATAGTTATGCAAAATTTCCAGACATTTACGCAGAACCCCATCCTCTGCATTCTTATCTTTTATAACATTAATAAACTAGACAATAATGCGTAATTATTATAAAGGTTATCATGAAACTTAAATAATGTAAGATATATAAATAATTACCTGCGGAAATGCATCAAACCCGTGACTTTTGCAAAATGAATGTACATCTTCTATTGAATCGCGGTTGAGATATTGATAAAGTCTACCATAACAAATAGCAGTCAATTTTGGAAAATTTTCTTGTAAATTTATATAATATATAAGCAATACCTTAGCATAAATTGGACCTTACGCGTCAGAGGCGCAGGGTTGGCTAAAGATGTTATTATTGAATCCCAAGTTTTCATCCTAAAAGTTGGAGATGCATCAGCACTAATTTTTAAGAGCATTAGCAATTCCTCTGTTTTCTATTAATTTAATTGGCTATAAATCAGTATGTTGGAAAAACAAGGTGAAATAAACAGCATTGGGAGCTTACGTGATCATCATAGAAATCTCCAAAAATCATGCTACCGAGGGCCCAAAAGAAATTCTGTGCTTCCATCCATTTTTGATGGTATTCGGGCGAAAGACGACATCCCATCAATATCAACCCGTAATATTTTGGAAGAGTAGTTTGATTATAAAGGATATTTTCTGTTGAGTGATTAATGCTTAAAAAATACATATATTAACGGTTTGAGAAATTAAAAGCGAAAAAGCGAATAAGACAAAACTAATATATTACCTAACATAATACATGTGAAGGTGCGAAATTATGTCGTCATTTGAAATGAATAATTGAACATTATCAGGGTAATCCTCGCATACGGCATGCCAAAATGTAATTAACTCCTAAGTAAAACAATCAAATCAGGATTTAATAGTAGACTATAAATTTATGTGAAATATAAATATACCTTTTTGTCAATATCTGAATCGATTCTGACTTGATCAACAAGAATAAAGATTGTACCCAACTTCTCAACATAAGGTTGAAACTATATTAAAGAAAACGTAAGTATGTAACCAATAATATATTCATAATAGAAAAGCAAGCATATGAATTATTGTATAATCGAACCATTGATTTTTCATGAGATGATCTCACACATTTCGTCAAGACTCTAAAATAATTGCTAAGTCTCCACCCAAAAGGATCAGCTAAGTTAATAAATAATAGGATTAAATTTGCTTAAGTTTCTACATAATTCAAACAAATACAAGTAGATAGAATAAAATTACCGCCTCTTCGAGGATAAGTTTGCCTCCAATATAATTCTACATTATCCATAAATTTAAGCAGAATCTGATATTGCCTTCTCATGCATAAAGTCGCTTCATACAAGGCATGTTCATCATTAACTTCTTCCAATTGGCGGAAAATTAAAATATTAGCAAGTTCTTCGGCACGTTGTCGGATAGCATCATATGCATTGAGTAAATAATCTGGCATCCATTGATGTGAGTGCGTTATCAGCATATGCTGCACATAAGCACCGACTGTAGAAGTACATAGAGCTTCAATTAACCCAAGGCACTCGGAACTAAATTGTGGAGTACCTTGATTTGTTTTCGCAAGCTTTCAAGCAAAAGCACAATGAATTAGACTTGAATTGGAAGAATAAAATAATTGATTTAATAAAATTACCTTAAAAACTTCTTGGACTATATATTCAATCCTGCGATTCAGGAATTGATCTTGAATTTGAGCCATTGCATACAAAATTTCTAAATGTGGCCGAACATACTCCACGTTATAAGAATCAGCGGAGCGAATTAATTGATTTATAAGCTCGTCTGATAAAACTTGATTATTCGTTGCAAAATGATTAAATATATCTCGAGATGCTCCGCTATCAATACCATCACGGACTTGTTTCATGAAAAACAAGAAATATTCTTCTTGTTCGTGTCGCTCCAAGATCAATTCAATTTCACTATCACTCAATTTTAAAGGAGCTTGAATTCTTGAGGTTCTTGATATTAATGAAATATCATGCTCAGGTTCAATACTGCATTCTAATAGCAGTGTACGTAATGTAGTCAATAAATATCGGAAAGGTGGCAATGAAAATTTATCACCCATCCTTCGTTTACGTGACTTCAAAGGTGGTAATTCATCCATAAGGAATAGTCGAATCAGCTCTCCAACAAATCCGCGTTTAACCATGTAAACACGCTCAGGAACGCCAGAAGAAGCTATATAAGAAAGTAAGTAGAAGTATTGTTCGAAGTTGCGCCACCAACGATGCGCATTTGGAAGTAAGCTAAATAACGCTTCACATAGTCTGACGATCATGCCATTAGGATAACACACTTGTGCATGAGTCAAATCAACATTCATAGACGAGTCAGAAATGTCAATATCATCGATGACAACCTCCAATCCATAAGCTTCCAAATTGCCATTACGTAACGTTTTTAGGACAAAAATTATCAGATCAACGATTTGCTCCCTAACATCTTGCACATAACATGACATAAGTATTTGTTGTAAGTAATTCGGGCTATGTTCGATGATCCTGTTAATGAACAATTGACATGCGGGTAAATGCGTTTGAAATCGCGTTTTTAGCATTTCAAGCCAAGATGAAAGATTATTGTTCTCCTTTGCACGTGCAAGCGTCCCCAGAACAAATTCTGTTCCAAGTTGTATCGAACGAAGTGTTAAATCAATTTCTTGACCATTTATTATAATAGTTGGCGTTTCATCCAGCCTGACAGAATTGAATACATGCCACATTAATCGGAAATATCCAGGATCAAAAATGTTTTTGTCTTGAAGAAAACAGATATTCTCTTCCCAAATAGAACTAAAAACATCTCTAGGAATGATTGATGGCTTTTCTTGCGCTGTTGACGATACGAATGTGTTATTTTGAGAATCAGAGACTCTTTCATAAAAAAGCATATAAGCATTATATTGCTTTAAAAACATTTTCGGCAAACTTTTTTGTTGAGTAGTATCCAATTGCATTATATATTCTGGTCCACCGTAACACTGCTTAGGAATATCTTTAGGATCAAATACCTCAACAGTAGAATCGTTGAATTGGTACCAACGGCGTTCAGAATCATTTTCATCATATAAAGACTTACGTTCTTTGATAAATGAATAGTAATGACCAGAATCAGCAGTACCAGTATGAACAAGGACACCAACAAGCTCATATTCAAATTGTGATTTATTTCCGACATCTATTTTAGAATCATCGAGTTGTCCTGATTCTTTACGTATCAAATAGTCCAAGGTGTAGGGTTCCATATTGATGTGTGTAGGAAACTCAAACAGTTCATTAATTTTTACTCGTTTTAATAACTCCATATCAAAATCAAAGCGTTTCAAATGCATAATCAAATTTTTTGGAAGTGTCTTAATACAAGATCTACAGATAAGAATTGAAATGAGAAATTTAGTATAAACTGTAAAATATCGGATATACTAAAATAGATGGACACATAAATCAATGAAGTCTAATATTTTCGTAATTGAGTTCAATACAACCTTTTAATGGCATCCACAGATTTATTGCATTTTGCGCAAAAATATTGGTTATCTAAATTAAAAAAAATAATATCAAAAAAGTACTCTAATATAATTATATTTGTTAGGAAAATTTTAACACACCTCCATCTAATAGTTCCCCTTCAACGTAAAGCTCTAAACTTTCTTCAACATTTTTCTTATTTTTAACCTCGCATTGTAATGTAAAAAATGATTCTTCTTTCTCAGAAATATGACTACAATCTCTTGATTTAATCTGTTGAACTAGTGCACCACCGAAATGATCTTTAAGGAGTGTTGCTTGGGGTGTTCCGGAGACACTATTTTCCAAGCGGTCAAAAAGCCCATTGAAGTATTCATCCACATCCATCTGAATAGCCACGTTCAATGATTGGCCATCCACATCTTTATATGCCTGGCAAAAATTTATCGCTTCGTACGCTTTTTTCTCACTTTCTTGTAAATGTCCAAATACTACTTGAAGTTGATATAAAAGGCTTTCATCCCTATTATCATCAAGAACCGGCGCAGAAAACAGGCTTTCTCGAAAAGCAGTGTTCATAAAGAATTGTTGAATTATTGAATTAACATAACAAGTAGCCCCAAGATTTGATAAACCAACGTAACCAGAAGAAGCTTTTTGGCATGTTTTTGGACAATAATTCCAATTATCATTCAATTGCTCTCCTCGATCCAATTGTCTCAAATACAAATCAGTTATACGGACAAAATTTTCTGGGCAATCTTTTACGAGTTCATTTAATAAGTCTAAAGCAGCAGTTCTTGAAGCTTCAAGCTTACACTTTGGAGGAAGAATTGATCCTGCATGTTCAAGCGTTGGGACTTCAAACAGGCAATCATTGAAGATCAGGTCAAGCAAACTATAAGCGATATTAAACAATGAAATTAATATAACAATTGAATATTAAGGGAAAAATTTTTTCTAGGATCAGAAAATGTTGAAACCATACTCATCATCCGAAAGACGCTTAAATTCTGGATGCTCGGCAATGATATTTATCATTAATTGAACTAATCCAACAATAACAGTATCTTCGTTAGGAGTATTAAATTGCTGTTAAAAGTAATAGATTATTTTAGAATATTGCAAATTGTCGACAAAAGATGTTTATAATTTATAACAACCTCTTTAATAGGATGAAGTCTTATTTGTTGCTTGACATTATTATATAAAACGAGCAAGCTCACTTGAGACTTTGTTATAAATGGCATCAAGTGTCCCATAAGCTCAAAATACTCTTTACTAGTTTCTACATAATTTTCTACGTCCGGTAAAAATGACCATAATAAAACGAGAAATTTCTCAAGTGAAGGCGGCAATCGGACCAATGCTCCATCGAAGGTTACATTTTTAGCAATTTCTTCACAAAATTGAAGAAGGTTTTGTTCTAAAAGGCTTCTTGCCTCTTCAGACCGACATCTAACAAGTGCTGACATTAACCATTCATGCAAACCTTGAAACTCGATAAAGCTTGACAGAGCTGATTCATCACGTAAACATAAGCATGATAAGAGCTTCATAGAATGTTGAATAATTATTAAGTCTTCATCAACTGTCAAAACGATTTAAGATAAATATATAAAAAAATGCAAATTAAATACTTTTTAATTCGTAGCATCAACAGTAACATCCATTACCTTGATTTTGAGAAGGATCTACGCACTTCCCAATAATATCAATTAATTTTGCAATTAAAATGTTGGAGTCAAACCGTTTAAATACTTCTGAACTTGTAGGAGAGTTGTCTGTAAAAATTTGCACGTATGTAAATAACAACACAATTAAACATCAATAAACAGAGCAAATAATGCAGCTTACCAATTGCAGAAAAGCCAATAACTTTTAATAAAAGCCCAAGACAAGCACGTCTTGTAACACTTTTTTGATGATCATCCGCAAAGTTTTCTATGTAATTAGCGGAATTTTGCATTGTTAACAACGAGAGCAAATAATCTAAGCCGCCATTTTCAACAAAGAGAATACTCCATTCATCGCCGCTTGTGGTTTCATCACCGCCTCTTAACAACCAATCGAGAATTTGAAGTGCATAAAGCAATCTGAACGGTGAACGATAGATAAGAAGTTCTTCCCATCGTACCGGTGCCATCAAAGATCTAAGCGTAGATAACGATCCTGCATGTGTAGGCAACCTCATAAGAAGGTCCCATATCTTTAAAGATTTTTAACATGTAACATATCAGAATACTTTTATCACTTAAAAATGATGTAAATTTACGTAATACCCAGACCTGTGCTGAATAAGTCTCTTCCAATTCTAACATAGAGAAAAATTGATCTATGTATTTAGAAAGCATATTTATTGGTAGATCAGATTCAGTTATCTATTATTATTATTATTATTATTATTATTATTATTATTATTATTATTATTATTATTATTATTATTATTATTATTAT